CGTGTCTTTATGATGGTTCCTCCTATATAATTTATTTAACTGGTGCTATTGAAGGACATTTTCATTGTTCACAAGTAATGCTGCTATTAAGGCCTGGCAGACTGCTTCTGTGAAGATTACAGTTAAGAAAAACCCATGGACAGATCTACTGTCTAACACATGGGATTGCCATGAGTCTTATTGAATCCATATTATCCATATAAGAATCCATGAGTCTTATTGAATCCAACTTATTAAGCTTGTATACAAGATCTGCAGGATAAACGTTGAATGGGTTGGGTTTGCCAAGTTAAAGGATGTGTGTATTCAATTTGAACATATGTTGACAAGTTACCATCCAAAATGATTGCAGAGATTTTTACAATTTACATTCCTGCAATATTCTTACTAGCACTTAGTATCACCAATAAACAAATTTACTTGACAGGTTTTTTGCATGGACTTAATTGTTTAACATTTTCTTCTTGCATGCCCAAGATGTCTGCTCATTGTATTTCTTGCTGTTTTCTGATACATACAAAGTCATGGCAGAGCCAGCAGTTTTAAGAGTTCCTGTGCCCAGGACATTCTTGAGAACTTCCTCTGAGGGTAGCTAGGAGTTCTGGGAAATGGCGTCCCATGAAGTTGTTGGAGACTCTGCTCATACTCTGTCCAAATCTTTACCTTCACCTCTTGTCCTCTCTCATCGCCCCCTGAGAGATTTCATACAGATAACTCTTTAAGGGAGTGGGGTCAGATGTCTCTCCTGCCGTAGCTACTTCCTGCTTTATGGGGTGTAGCGTATCACAACGCTGCCTATCCGAGCAGAAATCTCTCCTGATCTACTCTATATTAAGGGGAGGAAGCTCTTCCAGGTAGAGATGCTGGACCTAAGGCCGTGAGCTATTCATAGGCCTAAGCTTGTTTATGGTCTGCAGTCCAGGTTTCCTCAGATTGACTGGCTCTGTTGAATTCCAATAGTCACATACAAAGGCCGTCCCAGGAGAAATTCTTAACCATAATGAGACAAAGAGAGGTGAGGAAAGGACTGGCATCCATCAATGCTATGTCTAAGAACAACACAACTAAAAGTACATATTACTACACACATTGCTATATTTCTCCCTCCTCTACTTCACTCTAAAAGATTCTTAATGTAAGTTTTACTATAAAAAGTCAGGAAGAGGTGGGGTGGTCTACCAGGCTGAAATGAAAAGAAAAAGAAAATGAACTCCTCTTTTACTACACGTTCTATCTCTGAGGACATGTTTAGGCCACACTTCCTAAGGTGTGTGCGCATGTGTACACGTGTTTGTGTGTGTATCTCCTTCTATAGAAACACACCATTTCTCCCTGTTTTGCTAGGATTTGTCCTGTCCACTTGCATAGTTTAATGGTTAGAAATGTGTATGGAAAAAGAGGACTGATGATGGATTTTGGACTGATTCTAGGCATAAGATGGAGACGGCTCTGTGTGCAGGCTGCAGCTTTTTGCAGAAAAAGTGCTTGTCACCTTCTAGCACTGACACATTTATTCCTCTTGATTAGAGGCTGAAGATAGAACACTGGTAATTAACCTGGGCTTTGGCTGGGCTTCTGGTTGTGGCCATAGAAGTGCTTTAAACTCACAGTGCTGGTATTCCCCTGCCTACTACCTTGTCTGTCTTCACCAGGAGACTTGCGTTGATCACCTTGGTCCAAGCCATTCTTTTGGTTCTGCTACATCGGAGGCAGCAGTGCAGGATTATACTATAAGTGGAATGCAGATTCAAATTCCTACTCTCTTGTAAAGCCAACCTACCTCGTTGCTTCTTCTTGGTGTTAGCTACTCAAATAAGCCTGATGTCTGTTGGATTGTTATAGTGTGTAGTTATGTGGCTTATTGTCCAATTCTGGACATGCCTTCTACTTTTCCTGTGTTGTCTGTGTGCCTCAAGGAGTGTTGACCGCTCTGCAGACGCTATCTTGCTGGGCCCGTAAAGATGAAGTCCAAAGCTGCTGTTGGCCGAGGCACTTTGGCCAAAGGGTTTAAGCATCATTGCTTTGCTCCATCCCTCAGTAGCTTTGTCTGCTATTTGCCCTCTAGTGATTGATCACTTTCTTAAAGACTGTTTCAATTGAACTATAACCTATCTAGGGATTAAAATTCTTAAAAATGACCAACCCCAACCTAAGTCTTGAGTTAAAAGGTTTCTTTCTTATTCTTGTTTTGTGACATGTAATGCCACAGTTTCAAGTACTCTGTCATAACGTTCTCTGTATCATCC